ATCTTTTGTATTTACAATCTGACCAATTTAGGCTTCAGTTAATATATATAGACCAAGATTTATCACTTGTAATATCAATTTTTTTATAATAAATATATTGATTTTTTTTTTGTTTTCTATCTATATATTAATTTTACTATAGTCTAATACTACTATACAACCTACTTTTGTTCTTGTAGAGTTTATTCAAACTTCAATACTTTTTTTAAATCTACTTGGTACCTTATAGTTTCAAAAACTCTTCACAGTTATTTGTACAACTATATATACTGCTGAAATTATTTTGATATCTAAAATCTGAAATTAAAATTTAAAGATGAAATTGTTTTTAACCTATTTTATTTAAAAAATGAAATTTTTTGATATTTTTTTTGAAAAAATAAAATTATAAAAAATATAATTATCTAAATAAGATTTGCTCTTGTATATAAAAATTTTAATTTGCTCTAATAGAGATAAAATAGAGATTTTTTGAAAACCTATTTTAGTAGCATATATAAGTATGACTATATTTATAAGATCTCAAGTTTTTTTAATTATGACAATAGTTGTCAAATTTATTTTTTTAAATTTAATTTTCATTTTCAATAGAAATTAAATTTTATACTTAACTGCTTGTAGTATAATAATTTGACTACTTCACTAAGTTACTATACCTTTCTATTTTACAAATTTTATATAATAATTAAAATTAGTTTATTTAATAAAATTTTTTATAAAATTAAATATAAAAAAAATTTACTATTAAGTTTATATGTAATTTTAAAATAATACTATCTATCTTTAAATAAATAATAACTAAAATTATATATGTGATTAATTGTACTTTCATTGATATAACAAAGTCAGATATGGTTTGGGTAGTGTCATTTATCACCTGATTATTTTTTATCAGAGGCTTATCTCTCCTCTCCCTTTCTTAATATAAAAAAAATCGATTCTTATATATAATTTTAACTTTTTTTTTACCTCCCTCCCCCCTAAAAAATCACCTGATTTTTGTTATGTCCCTTTTTGTAACTGTACTAAGATTTAAACTATCAATTTAGTAAAATATACCAGACCTCAAAATGATCATCTTAAACAAAAAAATCAACCAAGCTGATGATTAGCAAATTTCTATAACAAAAAAAATATATACAAATCATTTTTGATCTATAAAATGATTATACTTATTGTTATTATTAACATGAGTTATAAATCTGCTACCTTTTAATTAGACCACACAAATTTAATATCTTGGTTTTTATAGCATAAAACTTTTAAACAGTACCGACTAGCTTTTTTTTTTTTAAAGTTTTTTTTACGAACTCACCCGGTTATTAAAACATATAAAAATATCAATTATTATAAAACATGCCTATAGTGTTTTGCACCTATTATATGTTTTTATTAATTTTTTTAAGTTTTTGTAAGTTTTAATATTTTTAACACAATTTTTTTTACATTAAAGTTAGTACTTGCAGTTAGAATTAGGGTTTAGGAGGGGTTTTGGGGGCATAGAACATTTTTACTTAGAACACCTCAAACCGATTAGTTAGCCAGTTTTTGAGATAATATATACATAGGTGTAAAACACTATAGGTGCATTTTAGTAATATCCGAAAATTTTTTTTACAAGTTTTCAAATTTTGACCCGGCCGGGTTATGAAAACCAATTAATTACTTTTGCATAGTCTTATAAATAATCTTTGATGTTAAAACTTATTAATTTAAATCATGTATAAAAATATTAGCTATAGCTAAAAATAAGCAATTCACATGGGTCAAAAACGGTGTATTATTTTTTTCAGAGAGTCAAAAAAAATGGGCAGTCAATGTTGACTTTGAGCATGATTACATCACAGCAAAATTTAAAGAATAACAAGAAAAATTGAATATCTGAAAAATTCTTTATAGAAAGTAATGAGTAATAATATATACTGTTTTGAAAAATGTCTATCTGGTTTTGACAAATCGATAAAAGTTAGTTAATAACGATGTTTCTAACCTTTTTACTGCTTTCAAATCCGTCACTGATCATTATATCCTTAAACTTTATTGTCAAGTCTTACTATTAGTAATTTTAAGTTGCCTCAAATAGATAAATTGGATTATTCAGGATTACTAAACGACAACTAATTGAATTGTGATAAATATCTTTTGATATGAACATAATAATAACTTAAAAAACGAAGGTGTTGTTCTTAACATTTTCAGAACATATAACGATAACACTTGAAAATTTTGAGCATGCACAGGTTTTTCCAAACAAGGCATTTCTTGTTCTAGAACAAGCTCGTTCTCTGAAGCAAAAGCATGCTTTAGGTGGCGTCCAAGGACCTATGCAATGATTTCCGATCTCATTACATAATGCCTACGTACACGGCTTGCTTCGGAGGATCGCCGTAGGAAAATCTTATTACCTCATACGTATAATTCAATCGTATCAATATTTATCAATATTTGATTTACTAGATTTACTCAAACAATCATTGCATAAACACAAAAAAAATAAAATCATTCCTTTAATAGTTGTGGTATCATTTCCAGATATTTATATATATAATAAACTATTAATACTTTCATGATTCGAACATTTTGCTTGTTAAATTTTCTTGCTTACCTACCCCAAAAAAAAAACTCCAAAAACTCCAAAATTTTTGCGTCGAAATGATACACCACAGGAATGATCTCAATGATGAAGCAAATACTACAAGTTGTCAAAATAAACTCTAAAAAAAATATTTACTAAACAGTGGTAAAATATGCACTGTGACATTTCCGAATTATGCATTCCTACTACCGAAAGGTACCCATCCGGAAATCGCTAATTTTAAGAAAATCATTAATATCAAATCTAAAGTTCAAATAATAAAATATGATAAATATAATGGGAATTTACCATTTTTAATATTATACCATATACCCTTAGGTTCTGGTGCCGATTGTTGATTAGGTGTCTCTAAATTATTATTTTCATTAAATGATTCAACTTCTTCCGCCAAGAATAAAGGTATTTCTTGATCATCAGATTCTTGGTCAACTAGTTGAACTACTTCCATTGTTGGACATTCATTGACTGCTCTTTCTTCAATCACCATTAAATTTTGACCGTCCTCAAATTCTTGTTTAATATACACTTTTTCTCGTTTAATGTTTACTTTTTCACTATCATTTGAGGATACCACTCTTTCTTTTCTATTAGCTTGACGTGCGGATCGCCTAATGGACGCATTTTGTATATCGATTTTTCTTGGTTTATATGGACCTCTTTTATAAGATACAATTGGAGTTACTTGATTTTGAGATTGAGTCACTTCAGGTTCGGTTGGTTTTGTTATTACGGTTTCTTCAGGTTCTGTTGGTTTTGTTATTACAGTTTTTTCACGTTCTATTGGTTTTTCAGATTTTCGACGTTTAGGCTGCAGTGATTGTCGAGAGATTTGAGGTAATAAACCATGTGGTAAATTCCATTCAGATTGTGATTGTTGTCTTGTACGTCGTTTAGGCAACATGTTTAAATATGCGTATGTTTCTCGATTTGTTCTTCTGGGTCGTTTGATCTTTTTCGGCAAAGCCATTTTTTCTTTTTCGTCGATAACCACTGCGTCATCATTTGGCTCTTGTTTAATCTGAATATTCTGTTCGTCATTAAGATCATCATGTATAATTTTTGGTTTGACCGATGAAATTTTTTCGAGTGATATTACTTGTTCGACCGTTATTACTTTTTCAGATACTGATTTGTGATTAGATGATGCAATTTGCTCCGGAGGAGATGGTTGTTCAATTTCCGATGATTCTTGACATTTTGATGATTTTACATGCGAACCTTCATGACCCTTTGATTTTATATGTGATCCTTCATAATGTTTTAATTTTGCAGATGATTCTTCATGATGTTTTGATTTTGCAAATGAACCTTCATGATGTTTTAATCTTGCAAATGAATCTTCATTATATTTTAATTTTGTAAGTGATTCTCCAAGATGTTTTGATTTTAAAGGTGATTCTTCAATATCTTTTAATTTTATGGATGAATCTTTATGATCTTTTAATTTTACAAAAGAATCATCAAGATCTTTTGGTTTTACAGATGAATCATCATGATCTTTTGGATAAAATTTCATAGATGAATCATCGAGATCTTTTGGATAAAATTTCATAGATGAATCATCAAGATCTTTTGGATAAAATTTCATAGATGAATCAACTTTTATATTTGGCTTATCGCGCCAAAGAGATTCGATGTAAGCCTCGTGAAATTCAGGTGTAAGAGTACTTTCATCGAATTTGGTCGTGCTAAAAGGTAATAGCTTATTAGCAAACCAATGAGTCGCCATTGATAATTCGATATTATCACGTCGAGCTAAAATCGCACATCGAACCCATCCTTTTGCGTCATTCAAATCAGGAAATTCAAAGGTATCCAAATCATGAGTTTTTCCAAATGGTCTTGCAAATAAAGCATCAAAGCGAAAACGTTTCTCTTTACGGATGA